CCCCATTTGCAATACCTTGGGTTGTCTTCTTTTGCAAATGGTATGCCATCATGGGGGTAATTCTCATTCCTGGGCTACCATACGCTCTCAAAGGCAACGTAACCAACCTGGCCATTTTCAATGTAAAAATATTTGACCCATGTATTTGACCTTGTAACTTTCAAAATGCTATAAAACCTGTACATGGGGGGTACTGTTTTACTCGGGAGACATCGCTGAACACAAATATTAGTGTTTAAAAACTGGAAAACGTATCACAACAATTATATCATCAGTAAAAGTGCTGTTTGTGTGTGAAAAATGCAAAAAAAGTAACTTTCACTGACAATATCATCACTGTGATATGTTTTACTGTTTTGAATCACTAATATTTGTGTTCAGCGAAGTCTCCCGAGTAAAACAGTACCCCCCATGTACAGGTTTTAGGGTGTCGTAGAACGTTACAGGGTAAAATACAGTGCTAGCAAATTAAATTCTCTGGAATTTCGGCCTGGGTTGGCAGGCAGGTCCCTCAAATAAATATTACATAAATACGCACGTAGAATTTAAATATATATGCATATTTATATATTTGAAGTCTACGTGTATATTTATATAATTATTTATGTAATTTTGTATATGGACGTATGTATATTTCTTATTATTTTTATTTATTTTTATATACATAGATATATATACAAATTCATTCTAAGTGTATTTTGATATAAATATATATATATTAATTTTAAAATACAGTTAGAATAAAATTTCATATAGCTATATAATTTTTTTAAAATTTTTTATTATTTTAAAAAAAATTTATTTAATTTAAATTTATTATTTATATTTTATAATAATATATATATACAATCTATATAGTTATTATATATATTATATATATACGTGTGTAATTTAATTATAAGTGTATTTTTATATTAATATAAGTACATATTAATATAAAAATACACTTAGTATGGCATTATATATATGATATATAGACATATATTATATAGATATAATATATGTCTATATATCATATATACACACATATAATTATTATAATTTTTTTTATTAACATTAACTTTATTTTTTTTTTAGATTTTACACTAGCAGGGAGACTGCCTGTCAGTACAGACAGTCCCCCTGCAGGCAGCACTATGGACACCCATTGTGACCATGTGATCGCTGTGTTAAGCGATCACATGGCCACAGGGGTCCTAAATCAGTGTGGGGAGACTGTCTGGGCTGCAGGCAGTCTCCCCACACCGGGAGCAACACTGATCGCCGCCGGGGGAACGACGGCGATCAGGTAAGTAACGGAAACCGTTAGGACGGTTCAGGACCGTCATCGGTCCGCAATGGGAAAATCCCGATGACGGTCCTGAACCGTCCTCGGTCGGGAAGGGGTTAATCAAATCAAATGCCTTATAATTACCAACAGGAATTCAAACCTTGGGCAAGTTGTAATGGTTATGGTGCTAGGCTACTTCTCAGCCAGATAAAAGTGAATTTTTCATCAAAAAAATGTTAATATACATCATTAAAAATATCATAAACTTTAAAAAAAAAAAAGAAACTAAAATTTGATGACTGTTGTACTTTAACTATATGTCCATAGACAGCCTCCTTGAGACCTTAACACTACTGTCGTCTTTGTTACAGCCATAAAATATCGGCACAAGTAATGAACTGAGATATATACATAAGGGCATTAAAAAGATTTCTACTTCTGCATTACCAATGCTGATTTAAATTTAAAGTTGGATGGCTTTGATAGCCTAAATGTGTCCTATTAATACCTTCCAAGTATGGATGAACTTCCACATTAGCAATAGTCAAACAAGAGGCAAGGCTGCTCAAAAATGACTTACAAACACTTAACTCACAAAAAGCTGTTTATAATCAATTTTCTTTGGGATGTAGAGGAAACTCAAAGTACTATAACTGCTACAGTTTATTTTAAGGGACCAGGGACACTGCATCCAGAACACTTCAATCAGCTGAAGTGGTCTGGGTGCCTATAGTGTCCCTTTAATGTAGCTGTTCTAGTGTCTATTGCCTGTCCCTGTGTAGGCTTTTCAATGTAAATACTGCTTTTTCAGAGAAAACACCTCTAATGGCAGTCACTCAGATGGGCACTAGAGAGACTTCTTCGGTCAGTGCTGCACAACAAGGTGTTGAACTTTTCCCATATAGATTCACTGCTCTGCTAATTGGTGCAGAGCAGTGTTTTGCTGCACATGCGCGATAGCCTCCTAATGCTTTCCTACAGGAAAGCATTGGATTAGCTGAGAACATTAAGTTTGATGATCTCTAGTGCACATGCATGGTAAAACATTGTCCTAGTGACAGTGACTAGAAGCATTTAAACCCTGCAATTTAAACATTGCTGTTCTGCAGGACAGCAATGTTTTACACTGCAGAGTTAAAACTAAAAGGAACAAGGCACCTAGACCATCTTATTAAGATTAAGTGCTCTGGGTGCCTACCTATAGTTTCCCTTTAAGAAAGAAAATAAGGAATTTAGCGCACCCAAAGACAACCCCTCCAAATTGCAATTCACTTGCTTTCAAGTGCTTGTACATGTGTGAGCGTGCACTAGTGTGCATAGGAAGATTTGGGTGTGCCAAGTCAACACAGGGAGCATACAAAAACTTATATGTGCTGAAAGGGTGTGGCAATTTGGCACAGTCAACTTTACCTTATATCTCAATGTAGTGTAAGAAATACCTCAATAACAAGCCGTTTACTAAGCCATTGGCCAACCAAAAGAAGAGGGTATTAAAGCTAAATTTACCAATGCAAAGTGGAACAACAAAAATAACTGCAAATAACTGAACATGAAACCTAATAGGAGAAATCCCTCAAGGCAAAAAAAAAACAGAGCCTACAGGATACTAGATAGTCTGTCATACTAGCTATAGTAGGTATAGGACACACACACAAAAAAAAAAAAAAGGACAAGTGCTCTCTGTAACGTCATGCTTTAATAAAATACATGGAACCAATTACATATCCAAGATGTATATACAGGCATTTCAGGAGTATAACTCTAATCCGGTAACAAAAATACCTTTCCTGAACCTAAAGCCCACTTCCTCAAAGCAATGGCATAATGAGGCCAGATCACTTCCTCATTTTCTGATGATCTACCTTTCGGCCACCTTTGTTCTAGCATTATAAGCAACACAGTACGTGAACGGAGTTGCCCTCTAATATCTACAGCTCAACTGTTTCAAGTGATACAGCACAGATAGTGAAAGACACTACACACTAATTTACATAACTTAAAGGGAAACTATAGTGCCAGGAAAACAACTTATAGGATCCTATAGTGCCCCCTCCGAGGGGTTAAAAACCCCTTCTGCCACTTACTTTGTTCCAGTGCCGAGCTTGCATTAATATTTCACCCTTAGGAAAGCACGTATGATGCTTTGCTATGGGGGTTTGGGGTGCCGCTGGACGTCCAGCATCAGTTAGGTGACCAAAAGTCGCTAACGACCCTGAAGTCCGTCTAGTAAACAGCCACTAGAGGTGGAATTAACCCTCAAAAGGTCATTATTGCGGTTTATTAATAACTGCAATAAATATCTTTGCAGAGTTAAAGGACCTTAGACTATGCACCTAGACTAATTCAATGAGCTGAAGTGGTCTGGGTGCCTACAGCATTAATTTAAAGGCATTCTATAGGGTAAGAAATACAAATCTATATCCCTTATACTATAGCTGCCTCTGGCTCCCCCCTCCCTCACACCACCCCCATCCAATAAAACCCTTACTGTACTTAGCTGATTCAAGCGCTGATCTCCAATGGCGCTGTGTCGGTACTCCGACTCCTCCGATGTCACCTTCCCCATACAGCACGCACAGCGTGAGGACGTCCAGCATCGGTTAGGCAACCAAAAGTCGCCTAGCAAGCAGGACATGGGAGGTTGCGCATGGCACCATAACATAACCTATAAAGTGATTAGGATGCTTGGATGGCAACTTAAAAGAGGAAACAGTATTTACCATAATAGAAGTATAATATATTTACTCCTCAAATAAGAAGCCCTCGGAATTATATTGTTTGTTTAATAAATACCAAATTAAAGCAAACTAAATTGCACATTTTCACATCTTCACTATTGTGTGCAATGATTTACAAAAGCCCTTGCAAATTCACCCCATGTGCACAGTAAGAGTGCATGCAAATGTGCATTACTGGGTGTGTTACAATAAGATGAGACTACTGATATGGTACAAAAAAAAAAAAAAAAAGAATATACAAAATCATATATCACACATATATGTTGCATATCTAAAAATCCAGTAGCTAATTTTACTCTGTCTGTACTTTTATGGTATTACATGAAGCAAAAAAATGACCACATTTAACTGAAGGCTCAAGTATTGCTGTCATGCAGATGAACAGAGGATGTATAATAATCGAGGCTTTATGGAATATAAACCGCTATGAGCTTTCACTTTCTATCAGATGGGTTATTTTTCAGTTCATTTAAGGCAAGGATCAATGATTATCTTACTCCCCATGACTATTGTTACTATGATAAAAAAAACAAAAAACAACTGGTCCCATTCCCATACACACGATATGACCACCCCATGGACAATGCAAGTGCATGACATGCAATGCAGCCAACTTTAAAATCACTTCCCAAACATTACAAGGCGTGTCTTCGCTCGTTTATACTTGCCAATTGTCCCGATTTTTTTGTCAAAATTTTTTTTTGTTTTAATTTTCTTTGAAGTGCTGTCCCCGTTGCTCCGTGTCCCGATTTGTAGGGGGGTTTTACATGGTGACACATGCGCAGATGGCATGGGGTACCAGTCGCATGCGCCGGCTTCGGCGTACTCGCACAGGCGCCCTAAACCAAACGAGGCGACACGAACTAGGCGACAGAGCATGCGTGCTGTGTGCGGAGCTGAGTGCGCATGCGCAAACTTTGCAAGCCCGTCCTGGCTCGTCATTTGTTACACGTCAGTAGAATGATGAAAAAGAACGCTCATGCGCCGAAAGCATTGGACCTGCTAGAATGTACATATATATATATATATAGAATAGATTTGGTTTAATTTGTATATTGATTTCATAGCTGATATTTGTACACGTTTTTTTAATAGTATGTATGTAGCGGGGTAGCTCCAGTGTGCATTTCTCACAGTTTAATAATTAGCAATAAACCACGTGTTAAAAAATGGTCTATGAAAGGACAGTTAAAATAAGATCCCTCCGAGAGAGCCAGCTTTATGGGTTTTTTCTGTGTTTGCACCACCTTCTATTGCCTTGATGTCTTGCATGTACTGCCTGGGAAATCCATGACATGCGCATAGTCGACTTTTTAGGCACAGATTGCTAACCCGCCCCCCCATTTCTCTTTACAGTAAAACGCAGACACAGATTTCGTTGGCACTACACACCTTTTAATAAAAGATAATCCAATTAAAAAATAAAGTCATTGTTAAATATCTCATAGCCAACACTTAAAACTGCTATCCCCCATTTTATAAAGTACCAGTGACAATTATGGCCCCACAAGATACATAATTGAATAGCAATCATATGTATTACTGTTACTATTGGCATTAATATAGCGCCAACAGAATACAATATTACTATATATATAATGTCTACTGGACTAATACAGCTAATCCAATCTACATTCTATATATATAAAACCATAACCTAATTGGATTTTGCTTCCCAAGCACTACCAAGCCTCAATAAGCAAACCAGTAACCAACCTCATGCTGATGAGTTGCAATAACAACGAAACAGCTGTCCATGAGTGGTTCACTGGTTTTGCATCTTTTCATAAATTGTGTTCCAAGCATTTGTATACTGCAAACACAGATTAAAAGGAATCCATGTTTAAAATGGAATGAGGCAAAAATGTGATTCTTTGTTAAACTAATTTGCATATGCCCACCCAGAATCCTTTGCGGTTGTAACATCACTGCAGATTTGGGATTTCTGTGGGAAAATGGCTTGACTGGTGTGCAGATTTTTGTTTAACATTGTTTTATATATATATATATATATATATATATATATATATATATATATATATATATATGACACTTATAATGTTCCACACATTGTGCACATTTAATTCACTTGTTCTCATTCATTCACAAGGTGACGGTTTGTTTCTGTGGGTCACCTAGGAAACGGAGATATGGCACCCGGATGTGACGTCAGTAGGGGTGGAGCTTAACCGCGCATGCGCATTGGTGATGGCTGCACGCCGACACAGGTGATCGGTGGCACGGCACCCGGAAGTGACGTTAGTAGGGGTGGAGATTTAATCGCGCATGTGCATTGGTGATGGCTACACGCCGGCACACAGGTGATTGAGGTCTGGGTGAGTGAGTTTTTCCTTAAATATGGTCAATATTGTTAACATTAGTTATTTATGTCCTGAAGAAAGTTCTATTGGAACTGAAACGTTGACTGTTGGAATAAAACCTGAGAAGTTTTTATTTACAAGACCCAGAGTGCTGGCTTTTTTCATCTATCTATACATTGTGCAGTCGAGATTTTCTTATACCCTGCTATGTTAATAGCTTGCGAGACCCCGCAAGAGCCTCCTGTATGTGATTAAAGTTCAATTTACAGAGAAAGAGATACAATTGTTTTAGGTAAATTACATCTGATTGAAAGTGAAACCAGTTTTTTTCATGCAGAGTGTGGCAAGGGCTGCTTAAACAGAAATAAAACGATTTAACTCCTAAATGGCAAAGAATTGAGCAGTGAAGCCCGAGAAGCATTATCTATGCACTAAAATTGCTTCATTAAGCTAAAGTTGTTTAGGTGACTACAGTGTTCCTTTAAGGAAAAAAACCTAAAAGTTAAATTAGAGAACCATTCAATATAGGTATATAGGTATTACTGTATCATAAACGCTCGCGGATACAAATGTGGTTGCTAGGAAACCCACAAAGACAAATGTAGATATGAAACAGTGTCCGTGGAAGTAAAGCGATAGACTTAAAAACAAACAGGGAAGAGAAAAGAGGATCTGGTATCTGTAAAAAGATAAGGCACAGATGTGTTAAAAGGTGATAAAGTGAGAGCAATAATCACTAAAATGGGTAGACATGCTGTGATAAACAGTGAGGTGGGAAAATATATATAGTCTGTGCCAAATCAATCTCAAGTTTGTGTATATATATATATATATATATATATATATATCCAGCATCATAGAATATATACTGTTAAAGGGACACTATAGTCACCACAACAGCTTTAGCTTAATGAAGCCATTTTGATGTACAAATCATGTCCCTGCAGTCTCACTGCTCAGTTCTCTTTCATTTAGGAGTTATCACTTTATGATACCTAGTCACACCTCCCTGCATGTGACTTGCACAGCCTTCCTAATCACTTTCTGTAAAGAGTCATCTAAAGTTTATCCTTCTTTTATGGCAAGTTCTGTTTAATTTAGATTTTCTTATACCCTGCTATGTTAATAGCTTGCTAGACCCTGCAAGAGCCTCCTGTATGTGATTAAAGTTCAATTTACAGAGAAAGAGATACAATTGTTTTAGGTAAATTACATCTGATTGAAAGTGAAACCAGTTTTTTTCATGCAGAGTGTGGCAAGGGCTGCTTAAACAGAAATAAAACGATTTAACTCCTAAATGGCAAAGAATTGAGCAGTGAAGCCCGAGAAGCATTATCTATGCACTAAAATTGCTTCATTAAGCTAAAGTTGTTTAGGTGACTACAGTGTTCCTTTAAGGAAAAAAACCTAAAAGTTAAATTAGAGAACCATTCAATATAGGTATATAGGTATTACTGTATCATAAACGCTCGCGGATACAAATGTGGTTGCTAGGAAACCCACAAAGACAAATGTAGATATGAAACAGTGTCCGTGGAAGTAAAGCGATAGACTTAAAAACAAACAGGGAAGAGAAAAGAGGATCTGGTATCTGTAAAAAGATAAGGCACAGATGTGTTAAAAGGTGATAAAGTGAGAGCAATAATCACTAAAATGGGTAGACATGCTGTGATAAACAGTGAGGTGGGAAAATATATATAGTCTGTGCCAAATCAATCTCAAGTTTGTGTATATATATATATATATATATATATATATATCCAGCATCATAGAATATATACTGTTAAAGGGACACTATAGTCACCACAACAGCTTTAGCTTAATGAAGCCATTTTGATGTACAAATCATGTCCCTGCAGTCTCACTGCTCAGTTCTCTTTCATTTAGGAGTTATCACTTTATGATACCTAGTCACACCTCCCTGCATGTGACTTGCACAGCCTTCCTAATCACTTTCTGTAAAGAGTCATCTAAAGTTTATCCTTCTTTTATGGCAAGTTCTGTTTAATTTAGATTTTCTTATACCCTGCTATGTTAATAGCTTGCTAGACCCTGCAAGAGCCTCCTGTATGTGATTAAAGTTCAATTTACAGAGAAAGAGATACAATTGTTTTAGGTAAATTACATCTGATTGAAAGTGAAACCAGTTTTTTTAATGCAGAGTGTGGCAAGGGCTGCTTAAACAGAAATAAAACGATTTAACTCCTAAATGACAAAGAATTGAGCAGTGAAGCCCGAGAAGCATTATCTATGCACTAAAATTGCTTCATTAAGCTAAAGTTGTTTAGGTGACTACAGTGTTCCTTTAAGGAAAAAAACCTAAAAGTTAAATTAGAGAACCATTGAATATAGGTATATAGGTATTACTGTATCATAAACGAATATTATTATAAAGAGCAGTTCTAATAAACAGAATCCTATCAAAAATACTAAGATCTAGGATAGGCAGTGGGAATCAAATATTTTGTAAATGTAATCCTTCACTATACATGTGGGCATTAAACTGTAATGCATCTATTCAATGTAGGAAGCACTATATAATCTATCAAAATGTATCTTAAAGGAACATAGAATAAACAATATTTTCATTAAGTCCCTTTGTGGTTACAATATTCAAGTGGTGGATCCAGAATGCTTCTCGCTGTAGTAGTCGTCTGGATCTATCACCACCTCGTGTGAGCGGAGGAACGTGGTCTATGGCTATGAATCGCAGAGTGGGTAGATGGTGTTGAGCGGAAAGAAAATGTTTGGCAACAGGTTTTTTTATTTTTTTGATCCCAGTATGCAGTCATAATCCCAGAGTGATGGCCCCTAATCCGATCTCGAAGTGTTAAATCAGTTTTTCCCACGTATGATAGTCCACATGGGCATGTAATCATGTAGATGACGTGGTCTGTGGTACATGTGATATAATGCTGTATTGTAATTCGTTTGCCACTATGGGGGTGTGCAAATGTGAAGCTACTTATCATGTGGCTACATGTAACCAAACCATGCATTTAAAGTAGCCTTTCTTCACTATAGTTGGAGATTTAGTGTAACAATGTGTTGGGTCAATACGTACCAACAGATCACGCAAGTTCTGGTTTCTTTTATAACTGACAATTAGGTATTCATGAAATATCGAAGGTAAATATTTGTCAGATTGTAAAATATCCCAATGTTTCAAAATGGTTTTCCTTATCAGAGGAGTGCCTGTATTGAACGTGAGAGGTAGGTACATTTGTTTATGTTTGATTGTCTCTGGTAGGGTAGTTGGTATCTCCCTTGAACGTTGCTCTATTGCTTTGGATTTAGCAATCATTAGTGTTTGAGGTGGATATCCACGTCTCAGGAATCTCTCCCACATCAATATAATAGTGAAGACAAAGCTAAAGATGAACAGCTTCGACAGATGTGGAAGAGATGTGGATACGAAGGCTCTCTAATACAAAGGCTTTATTGAGTAAGATAAAATATGCAAATGCACAAAGTGTGCTAAGAGACTTAATGGATAAAAAGTAAAAGTCCAAATACGTCCAATAGTATAACAGCCCAATGGCTTGTAAATCTGATACGCGTTTTGCCCTATAGTGGGGGCTACCTCAGTCGGTATACTTCGAGGGCTTCCTTGGCGTCTTTTTGAAGCATGTATTCCCAGTTCTTCCGGGTCTGACTGTCCGCACTTGGAACGCATCATGCGTTCCAATTTGAACATCATGCATACCACTTCTGGGTTGCATGAACTGCGCCGTTTGAAACGCAATGTTGGCGTCACTGGAACGCATGACGTGTACATTCCACTGTGATTTTCTACTAATCCGCGAGAATCGCGGTGTTCGTCTTTCTTAACTACATACACAAAGTATAAATGGGATTCATACATTCAATAAGCAGAGGTTTTCTACCAATATTTGTACTTTGACTAGTTAATATGATTGTTATGGTTACCCCCAGGCTAGCTGGAAGCTGGACCGCTTGGACGATCTGGATCCCGTTGTGGAGAGAGAGAGAAGCCGCTTTGAATAGACGACCAAAAGGATTCTGTAAATGTAGAACAATCCCACTAGCTATAGTACAGCTAGGATACTCTTTTCCCCACAAAACGAGTCGAGGCTGCGATTTGAAGGTCAAACAAGAACTGCTTTTAATGGCACACAGGGATCGGTATTTATGCAAAATCTCAGGTCCAGGGACAGCCCCCACTGGACCTGATGGGATACAGGAATAATACAAGGGATCAACCAATAAGAATGAAATGCATCGTTTGAATTTGTTACTGCCCAGCTTGGAGATAATGAACCCAACGGCTATGCCAATACAATTATCTCCAAGCGTCCAAAATACCACGTTTTTATTACACATAAAAAACAGGTTAAACATATATAACTTCAACATTTTCAGCTATACTTCGGGTTTCTTCGTTGCAAAGTCCGTTCGCATATTTGGTCCCGAGCTTGAGATGGCGGCTATGTTTTTGAGTGAGTCAATAGGCAGCGGGACCTCGGCATCAAACTTGTGGAACGATTAACAGCCAGAGTTGTGCACGAATCTCCGCACTCTGGCTGGATATTTCAGCTGTTCGGGAGACGAACGTAGACCACCATGAAGGGGGTACTTAACCTGCGGTTAACCGCAACACTCAACATTCTAATTGAAGCCACACGCCAGGCTGTAGGTGGTCCCCGTTCGTGACCCGTTCGGTAGTCAGACCATCGGGAGATAAGGCACGAACGAGAATGCCCGGAGGCCGTAAACCTGCGGTTAACTGCAGACCGCAACTCTCTGGGCGATCAAGTGGTAACACACTCCCCTTGCAGGGTGGTCAGTTGTTCGGTTGTTTGAAAGGTGACCGGGGTTAAGTGGCGGCACACGCCAGGGACCGGGTGGTCCGTTATTCGTTTAACGAGTTGATGTAAGTAATCCGTTCATGAGTTGGGTACAGAATTCAAGTACCGAAGCAATCTTATAACAACGAAACAACATAATGCTTGTCTGTAATGTGTTTGTAACAATAATATTTATAATAAGTGATATCTCTTGAACTTTTTTATTAAATAAA